TCCCTTCTGTGCTGCTTATGCCCTCGATTCCTCCATACTGATTCTCCCGCCAACCTTCTCCCTTTCTCTGAAACTCTTCCCACTGCTATTTCCTCTGAACTGGTTAGAACACATCACTTTAAAGACGAAGCCTTCTGAGGATCCAAAGGCTAAACCCTTAATTTCTTATACTCCCTGGAATAAAGCTGAACTGTGAGCCTGAGTCAAAGATTTTCCCAAAGTAACCAAAGGTCCTCACAGACTCGCTGAAGAATTTTATACTGTCATCCAAACTTATCAACCTTGTTTCTCTGACTTACATCAGCTAGTTCATATGCTTATCTGTAAAGGCCAGGCCTGGCATTGGATGAAAACCACTAATTGGGAAAATCCTGACTCTCAGATTACAACTCAGATTACAACTGGGAGTCCAGCTCACCGATTTATTATGATTAGGTTCCAGCCATCACTAGGTGACTTCATCAAGCAACTCCTAGAGCTTTTCCAAAGGCTGTTGATTAGAACAAAATTCAGCCTTGCACACAAAAATCTGAAGAACTGGTTCATGAATATTATAATCCACTTCAGATTGTTTTTATAGAAAATTCTGGTCTTCCTTCAGGTGTCGATTCTACCCAGGTACGTTTTAACTCCACATTTATTAATGGGCTGTACTGGGACCTTTCCCTTCTAGTAAAAAGGACCAGGGAGTAATAGGAAACTATGTCCACTCCAGATTTACTTACTCTGGCAAACTTGTTCTCTTGTCCTCTAGATGACTCATTCACAAGGAGGACCGCAAAAATTCTTCAACTCCAGCAAAGGAAGGCTCCTAAGCGATAGCAAAATCCTCCTAGTTTCTGCTATTATTGCAAAAAGCCAAGCCATTGGAAAAGAGATTGTTACAAATTTAAGCATCTTATGTGCCTTCAGCCTTCTACCCAGCCTTTACAATGTCCTCCCAATTCTCAATGGCAGGGCTCTTCCTAACAATCCTCCCTCTTAATCAGCTTGGAGAAACATTTCTCCAAACTGGAGATGAATCTCTCCAGTCCTAACTGACACCAGGTAGGCTGAGACTTCTTAGAGAAGTATCATGCCAGAATTTCTTTCTCTAAAAAGGGAAGAAATAATTCTAAAATATGATAGTAGTCATCAAAGTAACCAACCAGGTGAATTAAATGACGCTTTGACAACTTTATTTGTTCCACCTCTGCTGGTACCAGAGCAGATTCTGGAAACATCAATCATTTGTCCAAATTGAATCAGCTACCACTTTCCTTATGGGCAAAATCTCCAACTGATGTTGGCAAAAGTCACAGCACACCTCCCATCAGGATTCAAGTAGACACATAAAAACCTCTTCCCAGAATTAATCAATACCTTATAAGTAAAGAAGCCCTTCAAGTCATAAAGCCCACAATAGAAGATTACAGGCTCAGGGTCTCATTATCCCTTGGGCTAGCCCCTGTAACTCTCCCATCTTACTGGTGAGAAAACCTAAGGGCTGAGGATGGAGGTTTACCTAGGATCTCCAAGCAAATAAACAACGTTGCTATCCCTCAACACTCTGTTGTTTTTAACCCTCATACGTTAAGAACATCCATTCCCACCAGAAATAAATTCTTTACTGCAATTGATTCATCTAGCACATTCTTTGGTATTCCAGTTGATGAAGCTAGCCAGTGTCTTTTGCCTTTACTTGGGAAGAAAAACAATTCACCTGGACATTGATGCCTCAGCGTTATACTGAGAGTTCTTATTTCTTGCAAATCCTGAAGGCTGATCTGGATGACATAAAGTTCCCTAGAGGTTCTACTTTGTTGCAATATGTAGATGATTTGCTTCTTTGCTCTCCTCAAGCCTCTTCACAGGAATACAGTATCCATTTGTTAAAGCTTTTAGCCTTAAAGGGACATAAGGACACAAAAGAAAAATTGCAGTTTGCCCAAGTCTAGGCTCGATATTTTGGGCATGTGATATCACAACAAGGGATACACCTAAATCCAGGTAGACTTCATTGTGTTCTAAATTTCCCAAAATCTAAAACTAAGCACGAGCTGTGAGGTTTTCTCAGCCCAACTGGTTATCGCCAAAATTGGATTCCAAATTTCTCTCTTACAGCCAAACCGCTATATGTTCTACTCAACAATAATAACCCCAACTCCTTACAGGAAGAATCAGAAAACAAAGCCTCTAAGGCTTTAGAGGAGAGTTGGATGAAGCCACCTGCCTTTGGGTGGTTATTATTATCAGATCTCCCTTTTCTTTTCTGCATACGAAAAGCAAGGGAATGCCGTTGCATTATTCAAGCAAAATCAACAGAGACCACCATCTATCCATGATGTGTTATAGCTAGCAACTGGACCCTGTGGCATGGGGATACCACACTTGTCTTACAGCCACTACAGCCACTGCTTTTTTGATGAAGGCCACCAATAACTCATTGTAGGATCCCCTCTAACCATTTTTTGTACCCAGTGCAGTAGAAGTTCTCCTGAATCCTCATCACACTGGACATTTCTCAGCCTCACCTCCTATGAAGTTCTTCTGTTACCTACATCTCACCTAACTCTTTTACATTGTAATAACCTTAACCTGGCTAATCTCCACTCCGTCAACAATGAAGTCCCTCACAATGGCTTAACACTGAAGGATCACCTCCTGATTCCTCATAACAATCTATAGGAAATTTCACTGGGTAATGCTGACTTCTCATTGTTCACAATGATTCTTATTTAAAAGGTGACAATGGCAAATATTGTGCTGAATACACTATTACAACTCCTTTTGATGTTATTGAGGCAGCATCTTTATGTATGGCTACTTCAGTCCAACTGGTTGAATGATACACCTTTACATGGGGATGCATTTTAGCCAAGGACAAAACTATCAATACTTAGACTGATAGTAGATATGCTTTGGGAGTAGCTCATGATTTTGGAATGTTGTGGAAGCAATGTAGCCTCCTTGCTTCTGATGGAAATAAAATTTTAAATGGCCTCTATGTTCAGGAATTATTTAATGCAATATATTTATCTGCCACTTTAGCTATTATTAACATTCTGGTGCATTCTCAACTTGACTCTCTGGAAGCTAAAGGAAATCACCTTGCTGATATTTCTGCAAGGAATGCTGCCCTTAAAGCAACCAACAGCAGCCAAGCCTGTGTCATGGTCCAAAGGGATATTTTCCTAAATGATAATTCAGAAAAACTGGCTACAGAGGCCCAACAATTGGCCTCAGAAAAGGAAAAACAAGGTTAGAAATTCAACAATTGCTGGTTTTATTTAAAAAGGGAAGCTCTATTTTGGACCAAATAAGAACCCAGTCCTACCGGAGACTCTAAAAGTCCCACACTTCACCACTGTACATACATTAAACCATTGATCTACTGACAAAAACAATAGCCTTCATGAATCAATATTGGTGGGGAAAGATTAACAAGGCCACAAAAAGTGCCTGCCTCACTAGTCCCACTTGTCCAAAGTACAACCCAGGGAAGCCTGTTTGTATTGCTCCCAGACATTTTTAAACTACCTAATGGACCATTCAAGGTCTGGCAAATGGATTTCATATAACTTTCTCCATTTCATAGATATAAATATGTTTTAGTCATAGTCTGTATGTTTTCACACTGGACTGAAGCCTTCCCTTACAGACAGGCTACTGCCTCCTCTGTGGCTAAAGTCCTTTTGAAAATGATTATCCCTACCTGGGGAACTTCTCTCAAACTTCATAGTGATCAAGGAAGCCATTTACCTGGCCAGGCGCTTCGACAAATCTGTGCTGTTTGGCCAGTTTTACAACACTTTCACTGCACTCACCACCCTCAATCCTCTGGTTTAGTCAAACACACTAACAGCATTATTAAGACTCAATTGGCAAAATCTGTAAAGCCTCTCCAAATACCTTAGCCACAGGTATTGCCACGATCCTTCTAAACCTCACATCCACCCCTTTCGGAATTCATAAACTCTCACCCTTTGAGATAGTCACAGGATGCCAAACGCACTAGGCTACTGCTTCTTTTGACCCACAACTGATAAAAGGAGAGATACTCCAATATTACAAAGGCCTAATTCTTTTCACTAAAAATAACCATAATTTGGTAGAGCAATCTTTTTCACAGTGTGCCCTTGGGAGATAAACACCTTAAACATCACACCTTGCGACCTGGAAATTTCATCTATTGGAAAAAAAATCCTCCAGAAGGACTCTATTCAACCTCACTGGAAAGGCCCCTATCAAGTACTGCTAACCAACCCTTGTGACACCAAACTCCAAGGAATAGAATCTTGGATACACATGATACACCTAAAGAAAGTGCAGAAAACTGAATGGACCTGCACATCATCTGGCGACCTGAAAGTAAAGGTTTTCCAGTACTAAAGCAGATGACATCTGATGAGATAGCTTTCCCAAGATATCTGGACCAGGCCTGTTGGAAGTTTGTCACCAAACCTTTGATGATGACATACACTTCAGATGATCTCCAATGTCTATGATTTTACTAACATATGAACTTTAGATAAAAAGTACCTGAGGGTTCTCCCTCCTATTCCTCCTTGTTTCATAGGTTTCCAATCTGTGCACTTTCCCTCTTACACGAGACACTACATCCAGGAAAGGTCCTTCCAGACATTGAAGAAAAAAATGCCTCTGAAACTAGAAAACCTGACTCTTGATCAGCAATGCTTTCAGAGGAAGATCTTGATCAAAAGGCAGAAATGTAAAAAAATTAATAAACAGAAACCCCAATTAAACAGAATGGGGAGACCAGAAGGGGGAACTCTCATATTCTGCAACAATACTGGTGCCCACAAGAAGAAGAAAGACTCCTCTTCTTTCTTGTCAAGGACTCAGCCAATGAAAAGCCATGGACTCTCTGTTTACTATAGCCTTCCCAACTTCCTTTTTACCTCTATAAAAGTGTTCTTCACCTGCCTTGCAGGGACTTGCACAAGGCTCGCCATGGTTGCAGACCCTGAATTGCAATTTTCCACTGATCCCAAACAAACCCATCTTGGCTGGAGAAATATCTGGCAGTCTATTTTTTTCTGGTCAACAACATAAATGTCACTACTTCTCCAGGGACGTTGGCAGATGATTTATGTACAGATGTCTCACAGTATCCGCAAGGGACTGGTTGCAGGACGCCCCACAGATAGCAAAACCTGTGGAGGCTCAAGTCCGTTATATAAAATGGTGTAGTATTTGCATATAACCTATGCACACCCTCCGGAATACTTTAAATCATCTCTAGATAACTTATAATACCTCATACGATGTAAATGCTATGTAAATAGTTGTACATACAATGTAAATGCTGTATAAATAGTTGCCAGCATTTGGAAATTTGAGTTTTGCTTTTGGGAACTTCCTGAATTAATTTTTTAATAGTTTCAAGCTGCAGATGGTTGAATCTGCAGATGTTGAACCCGTGGAAACAGAGGACTGATTGTACTGACTCTGACAGTGACAGAGACTAAGTGCTTGCCAAATCAAAAGAGACTCCTTCCCTGACATCTTTACCAGTTTACTCCATACTACTAAAATTTCAGAAATATCATAGAAATTTCAACCTATTTTTTACGAGTCCAATTAGGAGTTTTGTGAATAAACACTGACAAAAGATGCTACCAGTAGGCTACTCCCAAAGAATAAGAGAATTAAAAGGGATATACACTATACCTCTCCAACAATTGGCTAAAAATTAAATAATTCAGGTAGGAAATTCGATGATTTACAGATAAGTAACTTGACTAATTATTTTTACACTTCCAAGTCAGCAAAATTTTATTTAGCCAAAGCCAATAACCTGTGGCCATGCAAGTGGCAAGAACTGGGATGAAAGATAAGAAGGAAGCATAATATGTCACCCTTGATCTAGAAGAGTTTCTAATCTCATTTGGGAGATAACACTGAGACATATGAAAAAATTAGAAAACAAAAGAAGATAGTATGGACGCAAGTGCCAGATTGAGTGGTACAAGTAATTGACTATTTGACACTACCAGGCCCCATAAAATCATTTACCTATAGTTGCTCTTTAAATTGTCCAAGCCAAAGATTTCTCCTTAAATAATCTAACTAGATCTTTATTGGTTTCTCATATCGAATAAAGATGCTAAATTAACACTGTCCCCCAAATCATACTTGGAATAACTCATCAAAAGACACTTTAAAACAATCAAACCAAAATTATACCAAGGAAGGAATTTGTATTACATATAAGACAATGTCAGATACATTAATGGAGAGTAGGCAGTGGCATAATCTAGTTACACCCAAGTCTCCAGATGTCTATCACCACGTCAACAAAGCCTGCTTCCTATTTTCTTTGCCACTCAGAAAACATTTCTAAATCTTAACCATAAATAACTCTACTAGTTTGGTGTGATCAGTAATTGACACCTTTCTTTCCCCACTAATGAGGTGGAAACCAACTGAGGCCTAAACAAGGAGTAAGGCAGCTTTAGAACTAAATGTCAGCATTATTACTGATGGAGCTATTGAAGCACTTGCATTAGGTGTGTGTCAAAGGTGGAATTCCTAATGCTGAACCCCAGTAACAGGCGCTGTGTGGTAAAACGCTAGCCTCTCCCTGCAGGGAAATAGCTAGGCCTTGAAAGACTTAAGGCACAAAGTAGCTGAGTAAAATGAATGTTCTCTGCAGAGAGACTGAGATTAAAGAGAAAGGGAGAGAGTGCTGAGTTCTGCATGCCCAGTTCTCTCTCTTGAGTCTACCAATTGGATAATTAAGTCTTCTTCCTCTGAGAGAGGGATTCAATAAGGGAAAGCACAGAGAAGCCTAACTGATGTTCCTATACAGAGACATTCAGGACAAAAGAGATGTTTTAGATGTTTCCTGCTCTTCTGCACCCCTCGTAACATATACTTTCAAGCACACCTTATTCCATGAAAAGGTGATATTGATACAATATATAGGCAGTATGAGTAGTGCTAAAGAACTCAGGCTCTGGAATGAGACACAGGAAGATACGAGTTCCAGCTCTATGACTTACTAGCTGTATGACATGAGGCAAGTTAATCTTAGAGTTTCCATTTCCCCATCTGTAAATAAGAGTACAATCATAATACCTAATCTATAGAGTTATTTTGTGAGGATTATATTAGTTAATCCATGTAACGTGCCTAGTAGACAGACATGTGATGAAATACTCAGCGATTTTAGCTTCAAAGACTAAAATGATTTTAGTTTACAAATGAGTCTGTGTAGTAGGATTAGAAGGATGCTTGAAAGCTTCACCTGTCTAAGTAATCTGTCCCGATATTCTTCCATATTTCCCTAAAATTATTACTATAAAAAAGTAACTTTTTGTTACTAAATTTAGGTTGTGGGTCTCCAGGAGAGAGATCATTTTCAAATGATTAACGCTTCAGAAAGATAACCCAGAAGTACATGGCATCACACGATCACAGTAGTTTGGTTTCATTGATTAGTTTGCTAGTAGAGAGTAGGGTTCTAATAGGGTAGGGCATGAATACATCAGATTTTTACAACAAAGAGGCTTAGGAAAGTTTGGATGGCAAGCTTGGTTGTAAATAGTCTAAGAGCAGGGATCAGGCAGATGTAAAATACACAATTTTACTTTTTTCATCATTATGTCTTGGGCAATTCTAAAATACATGAGAGACACATTTGTATCTAATACAACTGGTTCTCCGTGGAGTACTATAATTTGGGAAGGTAATGGTATCTGTGCCACTAGAAGTATTTCTTAACAACCTATTGGAGGCCAGGCACTAACTATGCCTTCAGATACAATTTACCATGGTTTTCTTACATTATCTTGTATATGACTACCAAATTCTCAAAAATTTATAAAATCCCTTTCCTGTAACATAACTGCACTCAGCTAACTGTGATTCTAAACACATTTACCTGACTTCCACTGATACTCTTCCACTTGGCTTAGCTGTTTAGGAACAGACTGAGTTTGATTATATAGAAGTAAAAAAAAGAGCTCACGTAAAAGACAAGCGAATTCATCCTAGAAGTTTCCTATTCCCTAATGTACATTCTTTTCTTATTTAATTACTAGCTCCTGGCTGTTCACTTTTTCATCTAGTTTCCATTAGCTCCAACTTGTCCAAATAGCTCGTAGAAAAGAAATGCACTGTTATTGTTAAATACAGATTTGAGAAAGCACATATTTAATAGTCATTTTTAATTATAGTTTCTTCAATTTACTAGCCAATCCATTTTGTTTCTGATCTCTCTGTGATATAATCATAAAGGCTTCCCATTATCTGTGCCCCTTTATAATCTCTGACTGCTTTTGTGGGCATGAATTCATTTCACTTTCCTGCTGCCTTTATCTCTTTCCTAAAATTCTTGACTGATGCAACAGACTTTTATTTTATTCCATTTTCCTTTTCTCCTCCTGCTTCCAGAACAGATTTTTCTTTACCTAGAGATCTTTGAACAGTCCTTTGGGAGGCTGCACTGAATTCGTCTTGCTCTTTACGATTCCTCCAAAAAAGAAAAATACAATCTGTTGTGCTTTAATTATAATTTCCCTTAGGATATGCTATTCTTCCATAGTCAGGAAGTTTAACACTTCTTCCTAGCAAACCATATTCACTAGATTGCTTAGTTCCTCCAAATCTTAAAGCATGTTGTAGTCTGAAATTCCATTTCTAACCCAATTTAAGTGGTCCTGGTCACTGGTTTCCTGCCAACTGAGTTTCCCCCATTTCCAATCGATTTCCCAGGTTAAAATTGGTTTTCTTCACAGCCAAGAATTGACTAAGATCCATTAGGTTGGGTGCATTTGTTACTCATATATCTAGATATATTCTGCTTCTTCAAATTCAAATGACTTGGATGGAAGTAAGTCTATATTAGTAAAGTCTGGATAAAAGAACAGCTTAAACACAGTGGTTTCACTTTAACTTATGTTAAAGGGAACACATCTGTAAAATAATTCTTAAGAAATTTACTAAAGATATTTTGTCAAACAAAAGCCATTTGAACTGCTTTAAAGGAATAAAGAATGATAAACACTTTTTATGTTAAATAAACAAAAATAAATAATTCAAAAGTGCTAAAAATTTATATTTTCTTAAGGCAGATAGATGTTATCTCTCCAAAATATATAGCATGTATTTTATATAATACTCAATACACATATATTTGATATATAGATATAGATATACACACATACACATAAGACCTTTAAACCTTAAAACCCTGGTTGAATTTTAAAATTCCTATTTATTCTTCAGGTCTCAGAAAAAAAATTACCTCTTTTATTTCAACCTCACTATGCAAGCAGTTAGTCGTTCTCTCCTCTGCGTTCCCTTGGCACTAATAAATACCTGTGAAATAGCACTTATATTATAGTGGAATTATTTAGTCACAGTTGGCTGTAATCTCCTTAAGGGCAAAGAAGAGATCACATACATTTCTGTGACCATTACATCTCTAGCGTCTGGCAATAGTAACTGACATTTAGTAGATGTTTAGTATGAATCAAAACAAAATCTCCACATTCATTGCTTGAATTATAAGTGTAAATTGGTAACGTCAGAAAGGAATAAGTAACTTTAGATGTCCAAAAAGAGCAAAACCACAGCAGCTATCCCAGACAAAGTACTTGATCCAACACAGGCTGTCTATTGTTGTGGGAAACGACGAAAAGTAGATTTGAGCACTTTCATTGTCCTTGCCATGACTCTCATGATGCATCTTTATGAACCTATCAACTTAAAGTTTGGGGTCAATACAGTATAACAGATGAAAAGGAAGACATTGCAGGAGAAACTGTAAGGTTTTGTGGAAAACACTTGCCCAGGTTTCCTCATATCATAGGTATTTTCTATCCTATATCCTAGTATTTGGAGACTGTTAATGGCACAGGCGCAGATACTTCCTAGACTGATCTTATGAACAACAGACTGAGTCTCTGGGTTACGCATTTCCTTCAGTAAGGCAGGAACAAAGAAACGGTTTCACAGAAACTTAGGTAAAATCTCTCATCGCGACCCCCGATCTGGGTTTTTAGTTAAACATAGGCTGAATATGAGCCAGGAACTTAATGAAGCTTCAGAAAATTAGGTTGTTTCAATAAACTTAAAGCATTCTATCTAAGGAGGTCTAATTCCCACATGTAACTGGTAATCAGGCTAGACTGACACAGTATTAGAAAATCACTGACACACTAAAGTATAATCAAAGGAGGACATCCAGGATGTTGAGGGCTCTGGGCAAAAAAATGTCAAATGAAGAACATTTGAGAAAAGCCATGACAGGAAAAGACAAAAAGTGGAAGTGGGGTTTATGTTACCTGTTTAACTATAAAATCTTATAG